CTTGGCGAGCATAACTCTTCCACTGAAACATTAGACAGATGGTTGAGACGGATCCCAGGTATATAACTAGAAGAATCCACGAAGTGTAAACTATCAATAACTAAGACTGTAACTTCAAAGATTAGGAAAGTGGAATGATTAAAGGAGTTGGGATGGAACAAGAAAGTAGGCTGGAAGGAATAGGGATGCAAGACAAGCAGACAAAAGCTAAAATAGTAATTACGTCACTTGCAGTGCTATAGCAATATGTAATATATTTAGTCAATCATACAAAGAGAGAAAACAATTCTAACTGTAAATTAAGTGAACACACCTGAGGGGTTAGCAACACAATGTTTCGTGTCCTTGTTCAAGACCTGTCCTTGACCACAGATGACACGAGCAGTGATGATCAAATTACCAACATAACAGGCAGTACAGAGGTCCAGGCTGGCCCTGGTTGGTGCACATACTTCGTAACTTTGGCACACAGAGTCGTTGAAAGAGCAGGGTATTGACACTGGCTCTCGTGTGTCGGTGGTGTTTGATTGTAGATGCCCTGTGACCAGTGTCGACCTAGTTTCCAGGCCTGATGGAGGCCTAGTGTCCGGACCTGGGAGGTGCTGGATACCTTGGCCGTGTGAGTTGTCTCTCAGGGAGCATAGATCTCCCGCTAGAAGGAAAAATAAGAGTTTAGGTCAGGTAATAGCAAACACAGATGCTGGAGACTAAACCCAGGTTCTGAACTAAGAAAACTAAGGAAGGGTAGACATAGTGGACAGATTGAAGAAAGAAGTGGGATGGAAAAAGAGATATGAGTTAAGAACACGGAGTCATGAAATATACACAAAGGGAAAATAAAGAGAAGGATGGAAGAACAATAAAGAATTTATAACAAGGTGAGGCAGTAAGCAGACCACCAGGTGAAGCCGTAATTAGAACACAAGGTGAAGCAGTGATCAGACCATCAGGTGAAGCAATAATCAGACCACCAGATGAAGCAGTAATTAGAAGACAAGGTGAAGCAGTGATCAGACCATCAGGTGAAGCAATGATCAGAACACTACGTGAAGCAGTGATCAAATTTCCAGGTGAAAAAGAGATCAGAACACCAGGTGAAGAAATGATCCGACATCCTGGGGAAGCAATAATCAAACCACCAGGTAAAGCAGTGATCCGACGTACAGGTGAAGAAATAATCAGACCACCAGGTGAAGCAGTGATCAGTCCACCAGGTCGAGTATATCAAAATACACCAATATCTCCATAGTTTATATAATACCAAATGCCAAGTAAAAACAAAGTGAACGTACCTGCAGGTTGAGCCGTACACTGATTAGTGTCCTTGTTCAAGACCTGTCCTTGACCACAGATGGCACGAGCAGTGATGATCAAATTACCAACATAACAGGCAGTACAGAGGTCCAGGCTGGCCCTGGTTGGTGCACATACTTCGTAACTTTGGCACACAGAATCGTTGAAAGAGCAGGGTATTGACACTAGCTCTCGTGTGTCGGCGGTGTTTGATTGTAGATGCCCTGTGACCAGTGTCGACCTAGTTTCCAGGCCTGATGGAGGCCTAGTGTCCGGACCTGGGAGGTGCTGGATACCTTGGCCGTGTGAGTTGTCTCTCAGGGAGCATAGGTCTCCCGCTAGAAGGAAAAATAATAGTTTAGGTCAGGTAATAGCAAACACAAATGCTGGAGACTAAACCCAGGTACTGAACTAAGAAACTAAGGAAGGGTAGACATAGTGGACAGATTGAAGAAAGAAGTGGGAGGGAAAAACAAGATAAGAGTTAAGAACACGGAGTCATGGAATATACATGGTAGGGAAAATAAAGAGAAGGATGGAAGAACAGTAAAGAATTTATAACAAAGTGAGGCAGTAAGCAGACCATCATGTGAAGCAGTGATCAGACCATCAGGTGAAGCAATAATCGGACCACCAAGTGAAGCAACAATCACCCCACCAGGTGAAGCAATAATCAGACCACAAGGTCTAGTATATCTCAATACAACGATATGTCCACAATGTATACAATACAAAATCCTAACTACGACCAAAATACACGTACCTTCAGGTTGAGCCGTACATTGACTAGTGTCCTTGTTCAAGACCTGTCCAGGACCACAGATTATCAGAGCGCTGATGACAAGGTTCCCAACGTAACAGGCAGTACAGAGGTCAAGGCTGGCCCTGGTTGGTGCACACACTTCGAAACTCTGGCACACAGAGCCGTTGAAAGAGCAGGGTATTGACAGTGGCTTTGGTGTTGTGGTGGTTGTTGTTCGCTTGGTTGTGGGGGTGGTTGTGCGAGTCGTGGTTGTAGGTCTAGTGGTTGTAGTTGCTCTAGGAGTTGTAGTTGTAGTTTTGAGGGTTGTGGTTGTTCTAGGAGTTGTGGTTGTTGTAGTTGTAGCTCTGGTGGTTGTGGTTGGTGGTATGCTTGTTGATGGCGGTGGGGTAGGTCCTGCTGTGGGCTGGGTGACTGGTCCTGGTGTGGGCTGAGTGACTGGTCCTGATGTGGGCTGAGTGACTGGTCCTGGTGTGGGCTGAGTGACTGGTCCTGGTGTGGGCTGAGTGACTGGCTCTGGTGAGGGCTGAGTGACTGGTCCTGGTGTGGGCTGAGAGTCTGGTCCTGGTGTGGGCTGAGTGACTGGTCCTGATGTGGGCTGAGTGACTGGTCCTGGTGTGGGCTGAGTGACTGGTCCTGGTGTGGGCTGAGTGACTGGCTCTGGTGAGGGCTGAGTGACTGGTCCTGGTGTGGGCTGAGAGTCTGGTCCTGGTGTGGGCTGAGTGACTGGTCCTGGTGTGGGCTGAGTGACTGGTCCTGGTGTGGGCTGAGTGACTGGTCCTGGTGTGGGCTGAGTGACTGGCTCTGGTGAGGGCTGAGTGACTGGTCCTGGTGTGGGCTGAGAGTCTGGTCCTGGTGTGGGCTGAGAGTCTGGTCCTGGTGTGGGCTGAGAGTCTGGCCCTGGTGTGGGCTGGGTGAGTGGTCGTGGTGTGGGCTGGGTGACTGGTCCTGGTGTGGGCTGGGTGACTGGTCCTGGTGTGGGCTGAGAGTCTGGCCCTGGTGTGGGCTGAGAGTCTGGCCCTGGTGTGGGCTGGGTGAGTGGTCCTGGTGTGGGCTGGGTGACTGGTCCTGGTGTGGGCTGGGTGACTGGTCCTGGTGTGGGCTGAGTGACTGGTCCTGGTGTGGGCTGAGTGACTGGTCCTGGTGTGGGCTGAGAGTCTGGCCCTGGTGTGGGCTGAGAGTCTGATCCTGGTGTGGGCTGGGTGAGTGGTCCTGGTGTGGGCTGGGTGACTGGTCCTGGTGTGGGCTGGGTGACTGGTCCTGGTGTGGGCTGGGTGACTGGTCCTGGTGTGGGCTGAGAGTCTGGTCCTTGTGTGGGCTGAGTGACTGGTCCTGGTGTGGGCTGAGAGTCTGGTCCTGGTGTGGGCTGAGTGACTGGTCCTGGTGTGGGCTGAGTGACTGGTCCTGGTGTGGGCTGAGTGACTGGCCCTGGTGTGGGCTGAGTGACTGGTCCTGGTGTGGGCTGAGAGTCTGGTCCTTGTGTGGGCTGAGTGACTGGTCCTGGTGTGGGCTGGGTGACTGGTCCTGGTGTGGGCTGAGAGTCTGTGCCTGGTGTGGGCTGAGAGTCTGGTCCTGGTGAGGGCTGAGAGTCTGGTCCTGGTGAGGGCTGGGTGACTGGTCCTGGTGTGGGCTGAGAGTCTGGTCCTGGTGAGGGCTGAGAGTCTGGTCCTGGTGTTGGCTGAGTGACTGGTCCTGGTGAGGGCTGAGAGTCTGGTCCTGGTGAGGGCTGGGTGACTGGTCCTGGTGTGGGCTGGGTGACTGGTCCTGGTGTGGGCTGAGAGTCTGGTCCTGGTGTGGGCTGAGTGACTGGTCCTGGTGTGGGCTGGGTGTCTGGTCCTGGTGTGGGCTGGGTGACTGGTCCTGGTGTGGGCTGAGAGTCTGGTCCTGGTGTGGGCTGGGTGACTGGTCCTGGTGTGGGCTGGGTGTCTGGTCCTGGTGTGGGCTGGGTGACTGGTCCTGGTGTGGGCTGAGTGACTGGTCCTGGTGTGGGCTGGGTGTCTGGTCCTGGTGTGGGCTGAGAGTCTGGTCCTGGTGTGGGCTGGGTGACTGGTCCTGGTGTGGGCTGGGTGTCTGTCCTTGTGTGGGCTGGTGACTGGTCCTAGAGTTGGCTGGGTGACTGGTCTTGTGGGCTGAGAGTCTGGTCCTGGTGTGGGCTGAGAGTCTGGTCCTGGTGTGGCTGGGTGCTGCTGGTGTGGGCTGGGTGACTGGTCTGGTGTGGGCTGGGTCTGGTCCTGGTGTGGCTGAGAGTCTGGTCTGGTGTGGCTGGTGGACTGTCTGGGTGGTGGACTGTTCCTGGTGTGGGCTGAGAGTCTGCTCCTGGTGTGGGCTGAGAGTCTGCTCCTGGTGTGGGCCGAGAGTCTACTCCTGGTGTGGGCTGAGAGTCTGCTCCTGGTGTGGGCTGAGAGTCTGCTCCTGGTGTGGGCTGAGAGTCTGCTCCTGGTGTGGGTTGAGAGTCTGCTCCTGGTGTGGGATGAGAGTCTGCTCCTGGTGTGGGCTGAGAGTCTGCTCCTGGTGTGGATTGAGAGTCTGCTCCTGGTGTGGGCCGAGAGTCTGCTCCTGGTGTGGGTTGAGAGTCTGGTCCTGGTGTGGGCTTGGAGTCTGCTCCTGGTGTGGGCCGAGAGTCTGCTCCTGGTGTGGGCTGAGAGTCTGCTCCTGGTTTGGGCTGAGAGTCTGCTCCTGGTGTGGGCTGAGAGTCTGCTCCTGGTTTGGGCTGAGAGTCTGCTCCTGATGTGGGCTGAGAGTCTGCTCCTGGTGTGGGATGAGAGTCTGCTCCTGGTGTGGGCTTGGAGTCTGTTCCTGGTGTAGGTTGAGAGTCTGCTCCTGGAGTGGGCTGAGAGTCTGCTCCTGGTGTGGGATGAGAGTCTGCTCCTGGTTTGGGCTGGGAGTCTGCTCCTGGTGTGGGCTGAGAGTCTGCTCCTGGTGTGGGCTGAGAGTCTGCTCCTGGTGTGGGATGAGAGTCTGCTCCTGGTGTGGGATGAGAGTCTGCTCCTGGTTTGGGCTGGGAGTCTGCTCCTGGTGTGGGCTGAGAGTCTGCTCCTGGTGTGGGATGAGAGTCTGCTCCTGGTTTGGGCTGAGAGTCTGCTCCTGGTGTGGGCTTGGAGTCTGCTCCAGGTGTGGGCTTGGAGTCTGCTCCAGGTGTGGGCTGGGTGTCTGGTCCAGGTTTGGGTCTTGGGTGTGGTTCAGGTGTGGGTGGTGAGTGTGGTTCAAGTGTGGGTCTAGTGCCTGGTCCAGGTGTGGGTCTTGTATGTGGTCTATGTGTGGGTCTTGTGTGTGGTTCGGGGTGTGGGTCTTGTGTGTGGTTCAGGTGTGGGTCTTGTGTGTGGTTCAGGTGTGGGTCTTGTGTGTGGTTCAGGTGTGGGTCTTGTGTGTGGTTCAGGTGTGGGTCTTGTGTGTGGTTCAGGTGTGGGTCTTGTGTGTGGTTCAAGTATGGGTGTAGTGCCTGGTCCAGGTGTGGGTCTTGTATGTATGGGTCTAGTAACTGGTCTTGGTGTGGGTTTAGTAACTGGTCTTTGGGTGGGCCAGGTGATTGGTCTCGGTGTGGGTCTAGTAACTGGTTTTGGTGTGGGCCTGGTCACTGGTCTTGGTTTGGGCCAAGTGACTGGTTCTGATGTGGGTCTAGTAACTGGTCTTGGTGTGGGTCTAGTAACTGGTCTTGGTGTGGGTCTGGTAACTGGTCTTGGGGTGGGCCTAGTCACTGGTCTTGGTGTGGGTCTAGTAACTGGTCTTGGGGTGGGCCTAGTCACTGGTCTTGGTGTGGGCCAGGTGAGTGGTCCTGGTGGCCCGAGGTAAGTGCCACAGGGTGGACGGACCAAGTGAGGGAAGATACACTGCTTCAAGTCTTCAGAGAAGACAGTACCAGCGGCACAGCCGAAGTATTGGATCCGGAAGAATCCTCTTGGTGTGCTCCTCACACACCTGCAACCACGTAAAACACATGAAACACACACGCCTCCGTAATAACTGTCCATACATGTAGCAGCACACACACACTCTCAGGTATTATATTAATTGTGACAACACATACATCTAGTAAAAGTCAAGATCTGCCAAGAGAACTAGAGACACCAGGGAAGAACAGGGAATGTGGAGACGTCTGGTGGTGAAGCTGAGGGGTCGTTGCTCCCTTGATCAAGGTGGCCAGGTTGGGTAAGGTCATCTTGATCAAAGTTCCGGAGGTTGTTGAGATCGTATAAATAATAAGACTAGTGGATGACATGCTGGTCATACTGCTGAACAGACTCGGGAACACTGGGTTGCTGAACAAACATGTACCGCAGCAACAACTATCTGAACAACACATCTGTGATACATCAAGACACACGGTCACCTCATGTGTTGGCATCAAGCAACGCTGGACGAGGGCGACAAACACCAATGTCGTTGGCTGGAGGCAGCTATGCCATCGATTACCAGACACTGCCACACACAACTTAAGGAAGTTTTAGCGTCTTTGAAACTCTGGCTGAGATAATCTTACCTGTCCAGGTGCCACGAACCATCCACCCTCCCTCCTCGTTATTTATATATCGTTGTCTTTCTAGCTCTCTTTTTACTATCAGTGACACAACGTCTGCTTCATTATAATGCTCTAAGTTTGTATAACAGCCTTTCTTTCCTCAACACTTGCACCTGTAACAACATCTGACCTGTTAAACAACGGCACACAGTTGCAACAGTGATCTGCATCTGCATGTGGTGTGTTGCAGGGGTATACCCCTGCAACACACCACATTTGTTATGATTATATTCTGCTAAGTAACACTCGAGTCACTGGTACAGTCTCGTTAGTTCCTTTATTCCCAGGAATTTTATTACCCCACATCGAGATCTTACTCCTTGACGAACATCAACCGAATCTAATATATTGCTACCGTTTCCTTCATGTAGGAAACAGACCTACATGTAATACCTAAAATTCTTTTGATGGCAGTCCCCTGAGAAACAGCAGGAGGCGCAGCAGACCTACCTGTAGAACCAAGCACAGTCTCTTGGGTGTGGGAAGACCCCTTGTTCCACACAGCGGACACCTGGATAGACGATCTCGTCAGGGTAACGTCTATCTGTGGAGGAGTACAACAGGTGTTTTATCCACAGGAGGTGAGTTTGATCAGTGTGGCGAGTACCCAGGGTGAGGAATACTTTTAGTAACTAAGAGAGTAAGATGACAAATACCTGGAAACATCACGGATCTTGATCATTGGCGCTTCATCTTGTTCCACTTACTGCAGGAACACAAGTCCTGTTACCAGCTGGACAAATTGAGATTGTCTTGAAGAGCGGCAGTGGTACTCTGGCTGGGTATATACCTTGCTGAAAACAAACAGAAATCGCAAACAACCTGTCATCCTACTCCCTCGCCATCACTGAGACAGAAGCCTTCAGCCTGGAGCCTCAACTTCACCATCGACATCAACAAAACGCATCACGTTAGGTATTTTATACCATTTTAATATTTAAAACGCATCATGAAGAATTAGACACATATGCAACATCTGGGTATCTTTAATTTGTAGACGTTTTGCCATCCAGTGGCTTTATCAATACAAGGACATAATTTGAAGAATGTTGAATTATATACAAAAGATAAAGTAATTAGTCCCTCAGCCTTGGCTGAGGGACTAATTACCTCAGTCCCTAAGCTAGGTATCTTCATTCCGAAATGATTCGGAATAAATATACCTAGCTGTTTTCATATGTGTCTACAAAGCAGTTTTGTCAGTATTGTGTGCCGTTATAATGTTCTCCTTGCTTCCTTGTAGAGCTGGAGAACAAGGGTTTCTCCTGCTTCCGTATAGAGCTGGAGACAAAGGTTCTCCTGCTTCCGTATAGAGCTGGAGACAAGGTTCTCCCTGCTTCCGTATAGAGCTGGAGACAAGGTTCTCCCTGCTTCCGTATAGAGCTGGAGACAAGGTTCTCCCTGCTTCCGTTAGAGCTGGAGACAAGGTTCTCCCTGCTTCCGTATAGAGCTGGAGACAAGGTTCTCCCTGCTTCCGTATAGAGCTGGAGACAAGGTTCTCCCTGCTTCGTAAAAGGCTGGAGACAAGGTTCTCCCTGCTTCCGTATAGAGCTGGAGACAAGGTTCTCCCTGCTTCCGTATAGAGCTGGAGACAAGGTTCTCCCTGCTTCCGTATAGAGCTGGAGACAAGGTTCTCCCTGCTTCCGTATAGAGTTGGAGACAAGGTTCTCCCTGCTTCCGTATAGAGCTGGAGACAAGGTTCTCCCTGCTTCCGTATAGAGCTGGAGACAAGGTTCTCCCTGCTTCCGTATAGAGCTGGAGACAAGGTTCTCCTTGCTTCCGTATAGAGCTGGAGACAAGGATCTCCCTGCTTCCGTATAGAGCTGGAGACAAGGTTTCTACCCTGCTCCCGTATAGAGCTGGAGACAAGGTTCTCCCTGCTCCCGTATAGAGCTGGAGACAAGGTTCTCCCTGCTTCCGTATAGAGCTGGAGACAAGGTTCTCCCTGCTTCCGTATAGAGCTGGAGACAAGGTTCTCCCTGCTTCCGTATAGACCTGGAGACAAGGTTCTCCCTGCTCCCGTATAGAGCTGGAGACAAGGTTCTCCCTGTTCCCGCATAGAGCTGGAGACAAGGTTCTCCCTGCTTCCGTATAGAGCTGGAGACAAGGTTCTCCCTGCTCCCGTATAGAGCTGGAGACAAGGTTCTCCCTGCTTCCGTATAGAGCTGGAGACAAGGTTCTCCCTGCTTCCGTATAGAGCTGGAGACAAGGTTCTCCCTGCTCCCGTATAGATCTGGAGACAAGGTTCTCCCTGCTCCCGTAAAAAGCTGGAGACAAGGTTCTCCCTGCTTCCGTATAGAACTGGAGACAAGGTTCTCCCTGCTTCCGTATAGAGCTGGAGACAAGGTTCTCCCTGCTTCCGTATAGACCTGGAGACAAAGTTCTCCCTGCTCCCGTATAGAGCTGGAGACAAGGTTCTCCCTGTTCCCGCATAGAGCTGGAGACAAGGTTCTCCCTGCTTCCGTATAGAGCTGGAGACAAGGTTCTCCCTGCTTCCGTATAGAGCTGGAGACAAGGTTCTCCCTGCTTCCGTATAGAGCTGGAGACAAGGTTCTCCCTGCTTCCGTATAGAGCTGGAGAACAAGGTTCTCCCTGCTCCCGCATAGAAGCTGGAGACAAGGTTCTCCCTGCTCCCGTATAGAGCTGGAGACAAGGTTCTCCCTGCTTCCGTATAGAGCTGGAGACAAGGCTCTCCCTGCTCCCGTATAGAGCTGGAGACAAGGTTCTCCCTGCTCCCGTATAGAGCTGGAGACAAGGTTCTCCCTGCTTCCGTATAGAGCTGGAGACAAGGTTCTCCATGCTCCCGTATAGAGCTGGAGACAAGGTTCTCCCTGCTCCCGTATAGAGCTGAAGACAAGGTTCTCCCTGCTCCCGTATAGAGCTGGAGACAAGGTTCTCCCTGCTCCCGTATAGAGCTGGAGACAAGGTTCTCCCTGCTTCCGTATAGAGCTGGAGACAAGGTTCTCCCTGCTTCCGTATAGAGCTGGAGACAAGGTTCTCCCTGCTTCCGTATAGAGCTGGAGACAAGGTTCTCCCTGCTCCCGTATAGATCTGGAGACAAGGTTCTCCCTGCTCCCGTAAAAAGCTGGAGACAAGGTTCTCCCTGCTTCCGTATAGAACTGGAGACAAGGTTCTCCCTGCTTCCGTATAGAGCTGGAGACAAGGTTCTCCCTGCTTCCGTATAGACCTGGAGACAAAGTTCTCCCTGCTCCCGTATAGAGCTGGAGACAAGGTTCTCCCTGTTCCCGCATAGAGCTGGAGACAAGGTTCTCCCTGCTTCCGTATAGAGCTGGAGACAAGGTTCTCCCTGCTCCCGTATAGAGCTGGAGACAAGGTTCTCCCTGCTTCCGTATAGAGCTGGAGACAAGGTTCTCCCTGCTTCCGTATAGAGCTGGAGACAAGGTTCTCCCTGCTCCCGCATAGAGCTGGAGACAAGGTTCTCCCTGCTCCCGTATAGAGCTGGAGACAAGGTTCTCCCTGCTTCCGTATAGAGCTGGAGACAAGGCTCTCCCTGCTCCCGTATAGAGCTGGAGACAAGGTTCTCCCTGCTCCCGTATAGAGCTGGAGACAAGGTTCTCCCTGCTTCCGTATATAGCCGGAGACAAGGTTCTCCATGCTCCCGTATAGAGCTGGAGACAAGGTTCTCCCTGCTCCCGTATAGAGCTGAAGACAAGGTTCTCCCTGCTCCCGTATAGAGCTGGAGACAAGGTTCTCCCTGCTCCCGTATAGAGCTGGAGACAAGGTTCTCCCTGCTTCCGTATAGAGCTGGAGACAAGGTTCTCCCTGCTTCTGTATAGAGCTGGAGACAAGGTTCTCCCTGCTTCCGTACAGAGCTGGAGACAAGGTTCTCCCTGCTTCCGTATAGAGCTGGAGACAAGGTTCTCCCTGCTTCCGTACAGAGCTGGAGACAAGGTTCTCCCTGCTTCTGTATAGAGCTGGAGACAAGGTTCTCCCTGCTTCCATACAGAGCTGGAGACAAGGTTCTCCCTGCTTCCGTACAGAGCTGGAGACAAGGTTCTCCCTGCTTCCGTATAAGGAGTGAGTAGACAAGGTTCTCCCTGCTTCCGTACAGAGCTGGAGACAAGGTTCTCCCTGCTCCGTATAGAGGCTGGAGACAAGGTTCTCCCTCTCCCGTTTTAGAGCTGGAGACAAGGTTCTCCCTGCTTCCGTATAGAGCTGGAGACAAGGTTCTCCCTGCTTCCGTACAGAGCTGGAGACAAGGTTCTCCCTGCTTCCGTACAGAGCTGGAGACAAGGTTCTCCCTGCTTCCGTATAGAGCTGGAGACAAGGTTCTCCCTGCTTCCGTATAGACCTGGAGACAAGGTTCTCCCTGCTCCCGTATAGAGCTGGAGACAAGGTTCTCCCTGTTCCCGCATAGAGCTGGAGACAAGGTTCTCCCTGCTTCCGTATAGAGCTGGAGACAAGGTTCTCCCTGCTCCCGTATAGAGCTGGAGACAAGGTTCTCCCTGCTTCCGTATAGAGCTGGAGACAAGGTTCTCCCTGCTTCCGTATAGAGCTGGAGACAAGGTTCTCCCTGCTCCCGCATAGAGCTGGAGACAAGGTTCTCCCTGCTCCCGTATAGAGCTGGAGACAAGGCTCTCCCTGCTCCCGTATAGAGCTGGAGACAAGGTTCTCCCTGCTTCCGTATAGAGCTGGAGACAAGGTTCTCCCTGCTTCCGTATAGAGCTGGAGACAAGGTTCTCCCTGCTCCCGTATAGAGCTGAAGACAAGGTTCTCCCTGCTCCCGTATAGAGCTGGAGACAAGGTTCTCCCTGCTCCCGTATAGAGCTGGAGACAAGGTTCTCCCTGCTTCCGTATAGAGCTGGAGACAAGGTTCTCCCTGCTTCTGTATAGAGCTGGAGACAAGGTTCTCCCTGCTTCCGTACAGAGCTGGAGACAAGGTTCTCCCTGCTTCCGTATAGAGCTGGAGACAAGGTTCTCCCTGCTTCCGTACAGAGCTGGAGACAAGGTTCTCCCTGCTTCTGTATAGAGCTGGAGACAAGGTTCTCCCTGCTTCCGTACAGAGCTGGAGACAAGGTTCTCCCTGCTTCCGTACAGAGCTGGAGACAAGGTTCTCCCCTGCTTCCGTATAGAGCTGGAGACAAGGTTCTCCCTGCTTCCGTACAGAGCTGGAGACAAGGTTCTCCCTGCTTCCGTATAGAGCTGGAGACAAGGTTCTCCCTGCTTCCGTATAGAGCTGGAGACAAGGTTCTCCCTGCTCCCGTATAGAAGACTGGAGACAAGGTTCTCCCTGCTCCCGTATAGAGCTGGAGACAAGGTTCTCCCTGCTTCCGTATAGAGCTGGAGACAAGGCTCTCCCTGCTTCCGTATAGAGCTGGAGACAAGGTTCTCCCTGCTTCCGTATAGACCTGGAGACAAGGTTCTCCCTGCTCCCATATAGAGCTGGAGACAAGGTTCTCCCTGTTCCCGCATAGAGCTGGAGACAAGGTTCTCCCTGCTTCCGTATAGAGCTGGAGACAAGGTTCTCCCTGCTCCCGTATAGAGCTGGAGACAAGGTTCTCCCTGCTTCCGTATAGAGCTGGAGACAAGGTTCTCCCTGCTTCCGTATAGAGCTGAAGACAAGGTTCTCCCTGCTCCCGTATAGAGCTGGAGACAAGGTTCTCCCTGCTCCCGTATAGAGCTGGAGACAAGGTTCTCCCTGCTTC